CCATTGATGCTAAGTCCTCTTCAGATGGCTGGAGCCAGGGCTGACTTTCCTTTTTCAGCTTGTTTCTTTTCTCAGTGTCACACTGTGGACAGACAGAACTGGGGAGTATGGGAGCATGACACTGTTGTCTTCCACTGCTTCTCTTCATCCTGCATCCATCCCCGTGTTCCCTTTTGGTAAAGGAACAGGGTTGGGTGACACCCAGCAAGATATACTAGCCCCTTCTTTGTATTCAGTCTAAATCAAATCACAGACAAGAAATCTATGGCCTGTGACCAAGCTACAGATTTTTTTTTTGTCCTCACAGTGTTTAAAATTGTGAAATACCACAAAATCGGTATCTCTGACATCTGTTTAAAAATACAACATCTAACAATGTTGGGCTCGTGTCCATAATCTCAGAGCTGAGAATCACCTATGCTTATTAGATAAAGGGAGATTCCCCAGTTTGCCACTGTCCCCACCATTCACTGTTGTTTACACTCAGCTCAGGTGGTTGATTCATTATGTAGCCTGCCTCACTCAGAAGACATTTTAGTTTTGATCCTAGAGTTGAGTCTCTGAAGTTGGTTCTAGAACTAAGCAGAGAGCACATTCTTTGGAAAAATTGAGGCATGTGGCCCATCTGAGTACTTTGGGGGAGTAATTCTGGGGTTTGAACTGGGGTATCATACTTGTTAGGCAGGTGCTCTATCACTTTAGTTGTATCTCCAGCCCTTCTTCCTTTAGTTATCTTTTCAGATAGGGTCTCAAGGCAAAAGCCTGGGGCTACCCTTGGACTATAACCCTCCTACCTGTACCTCCTCTGTAGCTGGGATGACAGGAACATACCACCATGCCTAGCTTTTTACTGGTTGAGATGGGGTCTCGGTAACTTTTTACCGGGGCTGGCCTTGAATGGCAGTTCTCTCTCTGCCTCTGGAGTATCTGGGATTACAGGGTAAGCCACTGTGCCAGGCCCTGTGAGTACTTCTTAACAGAGACTTAACCTCGAGGGACCTGAGGGAACAAGAAGCCCTGAATCCGCCTCCTGTCCTTTATCGCAGTGGCCAGACACCAGCAACATCAGAGCTGAACTTCTTACGGAAAGCGCAGACGCTGGAGACATACGGAGTAGACCCTCATCCATGTAAGGTAAGACTCCCCGGGGGAGGCCACACTGACCATGCCTCCTCAAGAGGGCCACAGGAGGAAGGGGCTGTGTGCTGTGCCCGCAAGCTCCCTTCTGTGAGTACATGAGTGGCTCTTGCAGTGACAGATGCCAGAGAAAATGCCTCACGTCAAAAACTCTGGAGTCCATGCTGCATAATTTTGCATTGCCACATTAACGTCAGAGGATGCAAACTCAATCTACATAACAAATCTAACACCAGGGCCCGACTTTGGCAGCAGTAGGTAATTTGATGGGAACAGAAGAAGAATGTGGAGGCCCCCACGTGGAATGTGGGCTATTGCTGGGCAGGAATGATTAAAGGGCACCCAGCAGTAGCCCACCCTTCCCTGACCTATAAATCTAGCTTCCTTTCAAGAGTGAGTTTTATTGACTGCAGTAGCACAAGTCACCATGTACAACCACAGTGGGTCACATTTAATTCCATTGTGCGCCTGTGAGGGTGAGGCGAGAGCCAGCCAGGGAAGCTGGCCCTGTGGGGAGGGGAACATCTGTAATTACTCACGCATGTCAGGCACTTGGGAGATGAGCGGACAGCCCACGCACTGCTGAGGACAGCCAAGACCGACGGCCTCTTCCATCTCTTGTGGGCACATCCCTCCACTACCACTCACTTCCCTTTGGCTTTGCCACCTGATCTTTGCCTTAGTTTCTCCTCATTTCCTCCCTTTCCATTATTGGAGAGGTTGCAGTACCACCAGCAAAACCAGCTCTCCAGCTGATCTAAAGGGGACAGGATCAACTGGGAGCTGTGTGACATCAACCTTTTCTTCCTGATAGGTGAGGGGATGCTGTAAGTTTGGAGGGCTAAAATAGCAAATTATCAGGCTGGACAGCATACACAGCGCAAATTTATTGTCTCTGCTCTGGAGGTTAGAAGTATGATCTCAAGCTGCTGGCAGGGTTGTTTCCTTCTGAGGGCTTTGAGGGGAGGATCTGGTCCAGGCCCCTCTCCTTGACTTGCAGGTGGCTATCTTCTACCAGTATTTTCATAGTGCCTTCCTTCTGTTCATGTCTGTGTCCAAAGTTTCCCCTCGTAGATGGACACCAGTTACACTGGAGAAGAGCCCACCCTAATGGCTCAGTTTAACTTTATTACCTCTGCAATGACCCTGTCTCCAGATAAGGTCACTAAGAGACACAGGAACAAAGCAGCATTTCCCTTAGCTCCTTGGTGAGGTGATGATTTGTTCTTGCCTAGGATTTTCTGTCAATCTTGAGAACATGTGGCATTCATAACCCTGATCATCTTCCCTACTCTTTGGTTCTCTGCCCACTGGTACAGCCCACAGCCAGGTAACCCCTATGCTCCTGGGGCAGCACTGACAGAAAACTTACCCATGCTGTTTATGCTAAAGGACTGATATTATGGATACTTACAGATTAGCAAAGCTGCCCAAACAACATCCCCTGTGTAACAGAAGTAGTACCCATCGATTGTTCAGATACTTTGGGAGGGGATCCCCATAGGAGTAAAGAGTTTGGGGACAGCTGGCCCTAGGCTCCAGTCCTGGTCTCCTACTTACCATGGCCTTTGGAGGCTTCTGAGCCTCACACTCCTCATCTGCAGTTAAGCACATGGTAGATGTCCAATAATTGTGCTCGCTGAACTGCTGAGCCATTCCAGGATCTTAAGACATAGCTACCTAAAGGTAGATATGGTTGTGCTGGATCACTTCTGCATTTGAGCCCAAACCTGCCCGGTCCCCTTGAAGTCACACATAAGACCAGGGCAGGTCTGACATAGACGTGGACAGGCAGTGCCCCTTGAAACATGACAACTGACTAGAGGTGGGTAGGATTCTCCAGTGTTGCCCACGGGGGCCTGGAAGTCGCTTATAAGTGGCAGCCAGCCTGGTGTCAGCCCAAATTCACATCCACCTCAGAACTGTGGGCTCCTGACTCAGCCTTGACTTTGATGAGTTTGTCCATCTTGGGCACAGAGAGGCGGAAGAGGCTGCATGGAGAAACAACACATTCATACCCTGTGTGTGGCCCAGTCCCATGTATCATTGTCTCCACCACAGCATCTGCTCCTGGAAAGGAGGGAGGGCTAAAAAAGGAAGGATAGGGGAGAGCATGTGGAATGCCTTCCAGGCGGGCCCAGGGGAATCCTTTTGCCTTTGTTCCTGTTGAATCCTCAGCTAGCCTGTTATTCTCCCTGTTTTAGTGATGCTCTGGAAGGCCAAAGTTCACAAGACCCTGAGTAGCAGAGCAAGAATTTGAACTCAAGTCACTTTCCATTGTTAAGTAGCCTATATGGAACAGGAGCCCCTGGAGACTTTCTTTGGGGAGCAGTCATCTCAATGGGCTTCTGGTCCTGTGTTCCTGAGCCCTGTCCCTCTTGCTCACCTGGGACTCCTGCAGCAGATTCCAGACAGAACCCCTCAGTTCCTATCATTAGACTCTGGCCATGCTTCCTCAGCCCTCCCAGGCAAAGGGCAGTTGGCAGCCTTTACTCTTAATAAGAAGAGTCACTTTAGTGATGCGTTACCAAGCATTCCCCTTAATGTTGCTACAAGGAGAACCGAAATAAGCTGGCACACCCAGTGTAATAAATACTGATGATTTCTATTAACAGAGAGGCAATTACTGGGCCCAGGGAATCTGGGGCACACAGCCCTAGGGAGGACGGAGGAAGAGGAATCGTTTTGATAATTAAATGAGAGCCTCAGCTGGGTTCTTTTCTCCTGGACCGATTGAGAAGCTGCTATTCACCCTATGCACACTAATGGTTTCGTTTCTGCCCAGAGTGTCCTTGTCTGATCCTGGGACCAGGAGAAAGAGCTTCTACAAACCCTGACCAGGCAGTCAGAGTACTAATACCCAAATTCCAAACTTGCTCAAGACTGTCCTGACCTCTCTGCCTTTACCATCTGCCCCCAACTCCTGGCAGGAGCCCCCAGTAGCCCGTCTTCAACTGCTGGAGAGGAGAGTGAGGCCTGTTACTGCATCTGCTCCCTGGCCCTGACACCCCTCCAACCTCAGGAGCAACTGTCTTCTTCTACTTGAGCTGGCCCTCAGGCTGGTTGCCCGGGGGTCTCCTGCAGCCTTGTGCTGGGGCTGACTGGCTGACTGATGGGACTGCCCTGTTGAGTTCATGGAGTAGTTAGCCCCGTCGCGGATACCTAGCCTGCACTCAGCCTTTTTGCTAGGAATCTGAAGGTGCTACTTATGGAGAGCCTGCAGGTGCCAGGCTCTTGCATGCATTATTTCAACATCACCAAGAACATATTCTCTTTCAGATTAAAAACATGAGCCTTTGAAGGTGCGGATAATAAAGAATACAAGGTGGATAAGAAGCCACCTCTGAGGGACTTACTAACATGCCCAAAGTTACTGGTAAAGATGGTACCGAGACTTAAACCCAGAGTCGTCTCATCCCAATGTGGTCCTTTTTCAGTTACTGTCCATGGTCTTCCTAGAGTGATGACATTTACGTAGGAGTCAAGCATGACTCACTGCCAGTTCTGATACAGAGAACACACAGAGCTATAAGATTTGTGGAATCATCACATAAAAATTAGTGGAAAGCCGGGCATGGTGTTGATGCCTATAATACCAGCTACTCTGGAGGCTGAGGCAGGAGGATCACAAGTTCAAGGTCAGCCTGGGCTACATAATGAGACATCTCAAAATAATAATAATGTGAGTTTACCAGTTTATGTCTGCTCTGTATAGACCAGGAGAAGTTTGATTTCAGCAGGATCTGGATTAGATCACAAAAATAAAATTGTACTGTTTGTTCTTCTACCTTTAAAATATGATCTTTACTTCCTTCATCCAGCTCTGGAGCCTCTTCTCTATATCAGACCCTCTTCTTCCACCTAGACAGGTTGCTCCTGACTTCAGAGAATCGGGGCAGAAAGGATCAGTGACGCCTGTCCCACCCTCAGTGAGCCCTCGTGGCTGTGCTTTGGGGAGGGTGATGTACTCACTGCTGAAATGAAGAACTTGACCAAAGCCATTCAGATGACAATTTTCCACCAAGAACTCCACTTCGGACTGGCACACAGTGATGCAAGCCTCTTACAGGGTGTTGCCTCCTCCTCTTTGTTTCCAACCTGGTTCCTGGTGGCCAACTTGAAGTACTTTGAAACTGATTTTCATGACTGACTTAAGATTCCCAATCTTGAGCTCTTTCAGAATTGAGTTACAAGTGTCTAGAAGAGCATGCGTAATCATCTTTGCATTTTTTTTAAGAATAGGCCTGGCATGGTGGCGTACTTCTATAATCCCAGCTACTCAGAAAGCAAAGATAGACCAGGTGTTCAACGCCTGCTCAGGCACAGTTAGTAAGACTTTATATCAGAAACATAATACAAAAGAAAATAAGTACATGAAAGGGCTGGGGGTGTAGCTCAAGAGGTAGAGCACTTGCCTACCAAGCACAAGACCCTGGGTTCAATTCCCAGTACTGCCAAAAAAAGAAAAAAAAAAAAAAGTAGAGGCTTTTCTCACCAAGAGTATATTAGCTTAGCCATTCTCCAGATAGGACACAGGATGAGCCTGGAAGCCTAATAAGCAAGAGTAATATGGTCCTGACGCCTCACACCAAGAGATCTTCTTGTGTGGCAGGAGAAAGGCCTACTTTGTCCTATCTAGAGGTGGAACCTGTGAGGACTGGGCAGAGGTGGCCAGTGCTTTGATTTCCAGAAACCCTTATCTAGGCAAAGTCATAATCCATCTGAGATAGCGCTGAGTTGATGCAAGTCAAGTACGGTGGTAGGTTCCACCTGAACATTGAATGAAGAACCATGAATGTAGGCTGACAGTGGCTCAAGTGGTGGAGTACCTGCCTAGGAAGCATAAGGCCCTGAGTTCAAACCCCAGCACCACCAAAAAAAAAAAACAAAAACAAAAACATGAATGTAAATTTATCTCCAAGAACACCATTGACCCTATCCTAGTAGTAAGACATTTGAGCTGTCTTCTTAAAATCAAATGGCAGTATTTCACAAGGTAAATGTTATTGTCCTCATTTTACAAATGAAGTAATTAAGATCTGAAGAAGTATGTCACAGAGCAAATCAGAAGCACAGCTAGGTTTCTAAACCAAAACTGAAGCTCTTGGTAATAACAGCACCTCAAACAATGCCAGTCCGTCTCTGATCCAAAGACAGCAATTCTCCAGAGGGCTTCGTATGCAACAGATGCAGATGAAGGTATCAGCAAGATGCCTGGCAATGGGTGTCCAAGAGAGAAGGCAGCCAGAATGTTGGCTACTTGTCTCTGGCATCTTCCCACAAGGATAAAAGTCTCAAAGTCTTACTTCACAACTATAAAAGTGAAGTAGATTCTTATGACTGCTATCAGATATAGGGTGGGGCTGGCAATATCCACTGCAAAGCTGTCAAGACCCAAGTTTTTATTCCACCTCCCAGATCCACTAATCAACTCAGTCCCATGGATTGATTTCATGGGGATGGGAAGGAGACCAGGAGGAAGGGTAGGATCCTGCTTGGTAAGGTGGAAAATCTGACACTTCTCCTTATTCCCTGCTCTTTTTTGTTACACAACTTGTTACTTTGCACACAAACCCCAAAGGCAGGCTCACAGTGAGAATGACCTATTAGAAGAAACTGAACATTCCAGAGAAGGTGTCCGTGTGGCCTCTGCTCACATGCCAGTATGGATGTGAGAGTTCTTGCTGTGGTTCCAAGTCCCACCCCTCACTGGTGGCTGAGCCTCACATGCCAGAGACAAGTAGTCAGCATTCTAGTTGCCTTCTGGCCCAGCGGATGCTGGGGTCTTGCTGTAACCTTCATCTGCACCCACATGCTCTTTGTATGAGAGACCAGGTAGGGGTGGTTCAAGGTGCCATCATTACTGATTGGATGCATGGATTATCAGGAGTGCTTAGGACCCATTCACTCCCTGTTCCAGATGAGCTAGTTTGGGCAGGAGAGGCTGTTCCTACAATTCCAACCCTACTTTCTCTCAGAAGTCACCTGAGGTCACCTGGAAGGTACCACCCACCTCATGAAAGAAACTCTTCCCTTTGCTGTGGCCAGAGGAATGCCAGTCACTGAACAACTCCTAGATCACCAGTAGTGTCACTTCCACTCACTGCAGATCACCCAAATCTTCCTGCTCCGTGGCCCCCCTAACAAGGGGACTTCTTCCCACTCCCCTGTTACCTAACTAGGATATCTTAAATCTGTCAACATCAAGGGGAAAACAAAAATTAAATGTAAGGGTTTTTGTACTAAGTTCAACAAACTCAGCAGGTGTGAGAATATTAACACAGCCATTGGTATCATTATATGCCCACTAAGCAAACTTATGAGATGAGAAATACCAACCATAACTGAAACACGGAGAAATTAATGGACCTGGCTACTGTCACACAGTGAGTGGCAGAGCTAGATGACAGATCTGACCCAGAGCCTATTGCACTTTGGTCCTGGCTCAGGTGTCCTGCTCCATCCCTGCAGAGTGAACAAGCAAAGGGAGGCCCTGCCTCCTTCCCCTCTTATTATTGTGCCACAAGCACCATTCTCAATCCTTCTAGCTGTTCTTTTTCAGGACTTTCCTGACTCAGAAAGCATTGTAAGACACCCTCCCCACCTCTGCCCACTTTTGTTGTCTCCTCAATTTTGTGCACGCATACTTCCCATGCTGCAGCCACATGCCCTAACCCTCTAAATCATCTTACACCTTTATCTGATAAACACTTCCTGCAGCCCTGTTCTATGCCAGTGTGAATAGGTCTCTATCCTCAGGCCTCTTGTCTTTCTAAGCCTGAAGTTCTAGGACTTCCTTGGATCCAGCCTGCACAGCGAGCACAAAGTTTCCTGGTGCCCACCTTCCCTTGCCTGCCTCCTCTCCCAGGCATTCTCCCTGCCCTGACCCATATCTCTGCCAAGTCAGCCAGGTTAGCCCTGCTGCTTCCTGGCAGGAACAGTGTTTGTGTGCAGTGCCTGATGCTCAGATATTAATAACCACCACTAGGCATTGGTGACAGGTAGGAGGAAACCCAGCCCTGTGGCTTCAATGTCTCCATTCCAGTTATTTTTAAAAGCCCTTTGCTGTGCCCATGCATTAAGTGACACTACGCTTGCAGCCAAGTGTGCAGATCTCCAGACTCTGAGAAAAGGACAACAGCAATGTTAATCAGAAATGTTTATAAAACATGTTCCAGCTCTGTCCCTGGGCCCAGAAGCTCACACTTGCAAACCCGGCTCCAAGAGGCAAATCTGCAGCTTTCCTTGCAACGAGGCTCATGAGGCTCCAGGCTGAAAATCTGAGCCAGGGCAGCAAACCCTGAAGGCAAGAGACCCACAGAGCCACCTTCAGGCTGGTCTGGCTCCCACTCACATGCCTCACGCCAGGCATCTGGACGCCACCTGAGATGTGGCCCACAAAACTCCTGTAGGTGCATTTGGCCGACCTCATGGCATAGTTCTCTGGCCACCTCCATCATTGTTCATGCGGCCTGACAGCAGGTCCTCACCTGACCCCATCACACAGGAAGCCCCTCTGAGGGGCCAACTGTCACCTCTGCCTTCTGCTGCACCTTCTCCCCACTTGGTCAGAGAGCCAAGCCTGCTGCTTACAAAAGGATGACTGGTGACCAGGAGACCCTCTCTGTTGGTTCAGGTGCCTCAGGGCTGGTAACAACCCTGAGGTTGTTTTTACCTTTTCCTCAGCTAAACTTTCCTGAAGGAGCCAAGTGTCATAGGATCATCATGATAATAACTATCTCTCTCTCCCTGGCAACAGCTTTTACATGTGCAATTCCATGGTTTTCAGTATATTCACACACAGACTTAGGCCACCATCATTACTATCTAAGGTTAGCATAGTTCCATGACCCCCCTGAAAAGGAACCCCATAACCATTAGCCGTCACTGCCCTCCTTCCCTTTCCCTCCAACCCCTGGAATTGAGTAATGCTTGTATCTCCATGGATTTGCCTATGCTGGGTGTTACATACAAATGGAATCATTCCACATATGGTCTTTTATAATGCCCACTAGGCATTGTTGTGTGAAGTTTCATCCACATTGTAGCATGAGCACTTCATTCCTTTTTACTGCTGAACAATAATCTGTTAAGCCATCAAACACCACTTGTTTGTTCACTTACCACCTGATGGGCATTTTCCATTACAAAATGGATTGCACTGGCTCCACTGTTTGACTGCTATGATAGTGCTGTTCATGTACTAGTTTCTGTGTGGACACGTTTTCAGTTTTCTTGGACAAGTACCTAGGAGTGGAATTGTTGGACCATGTGCTACTTTTGTGTTTAACCACTTGAAAAACTTCCATACTGCACCATTTTACAATCCTACCAAGCACTGAACAAGATTTTGCCATTCTCTTTGAGTGGTCATAACAACCTACTTTTATTTGTCGGTACTGGGGTTTTGAACTCAGAACTTTGTACTCGCTAAGCAGGCATTCTACCACCTGAGCCGCACTCTCAGCCCTTTTTCACTTCAGTTGTTTTTTGGATAGGGTCTCATATTCTTGTCTGGTGCCAGTCTCAGATTGTGATGCTCCTATCTATGCCTCCTATGCAGCTGGGACCACAGGCATGCATCTGTGCACCCAGGTTGTTGATTGAGATGAGTTCTAACTTTATGCCCATGCTGCCCTCAAACTGCAGTCCTCCTGACCTCCACCTTCCAATGGAGGTATCAGAGATGTACACCATCACATCCACCCCTAAAACAGCTTTCTAAGGCTGGTGTCATTATACTTTACAACTTATAGATACAGGCACTGAGGCTCAGCAAGTAACTTGCCTGTTGTCACTCAGCTGGCAAATGGCAAGCCTGGAACTCAAACTGAAGTCTTATGATTCCAGATGCCCTGCTCTTCCCTCTGTGACCTACTGCAAAGTGGAAACCCTGCCTCCCCTATGAACAACAGTGTTTCCTACCCTTTGTCCTCTCTTGTCTGTGACCCAGTGACAAATCTTTCTCTACTGCAGGATGTATCAGGAAATGCTGCATTTCTGGCCTTCACTCCTTTTGGGTTTGTCGTTCTTCAAGGAAACAAGAGGGTCCACTTCATTAAATGGTGAGTATTTTCATCTTCATCATCTTTTTACCTCATTAACTGGGGAGGGGCTGGAGTTCTCATGTCCTTTGTGGTGGGCAGTTAGGGTTCTGAGCCCTCTCCAAAGCCTTGCGTTGAGGATGGTAACTGATCAAGGTAGTGTCTATTCCTAGGGATCTTATTCTTCCAAACGGGGGTCCGTGATTGCCAACAGCCTCCCTAGAGACAGAAAGGGCATGGGAGTTTGATTTCTGGGAAGACCTGGGGCTAGAGCCAGTATTAGGGAGGCAAAGTTCCCAAGAGAATTGAATCCTTAGGGCTGTCACCTGCTGAGAGCCAAAGTGAACCCTATTGAGACTGTGGGAGCATCTCAGCAGATGGCCCAATGCCTTTATCCACTGTTAACAAGAGAGGGGCTCACACACAGAGACCCCTGGAGCAGACGTAAATCACCATTATGCTCCCAACACCCTCCTCAGACCAACCCCAACTGTGCATGGATCTACAAGAGCTCAGATGCCTCCCTGCTCTCCCTCTTCAGGGTAAAGTGTCCTTAGCCAAGGAGGGAAGGGGTAAGTGTCCTTCCCACCCCTCTCCACTGTCACATCTAGTGTGTAAGAACCACTGCCTCAGCTGCAGCTACTACAAACAGCTTCCTCGCCTGGCCCAACTTTGGTTTGTTTGGTGTCTGTTCTGCTGCATGGCTGGGCAAACTCCCATATGGATATCCTCGAGACCCTTTTACTAGCTGGCCCATGTGGACATCTGTCAGTCTCACCAGGACACTGCATATTCTAAGACCCTGTGATTTCTGTTCCTTCTTAGGCCGCATCCTGCCATGTCTAAGCTGGCCACCTCCCTTGATGGGCTTGGGGAAATGGCTTCTCTTGGTCCAGTAGAGCCCAGAAGGGGGAAGACGGCTGTTAGTCCCTTTACCTTCTCCAGCAGAGCAAATGAGGGAGTCTGAGTCCAGGGTTGCTTTCTCATGAGCTTTCTTCTGGGGCTACTTCAGTCAACTCTCCTCTTCTACTCTCTTTAGCCCCACCACTGAGCTGATGGACAAACACCAAACACCTTCCTAACCGATATTGTCCTTGTGAAGAATGGCAATATGATTGACCAGGGTGCTAGAGAAACTGCTCCTCAGACATGCAGAGCTGGGTCCCATTCACAGTGAAGCCTGGTGTCACGGGTCTACCTGACATGCCTATTCGCTAGGCTTCCTCACATTAGCCCACTTCACATGCTTTCTGGTGAGGGTTTGGGGTCTCCTGTCCAACAAAATACTTTTCAAACAAAGACAGTGAGCAGGCTATGAATCTCCCACTGTGGACCATTTGCTGCCTGGATGTATCGGGGCGACTTGATGTTCCTTAGAGGACCACATTCTGACCAAGGGAGTTGTCTCACAAAGTCCCTGTTGGAGAGCATGATTAGCTAGAAACAAGTAGGACACAACCTGTAACAGTCACGTACAGTCCCTCAATTACACTTACCTTTCCAGCAGCTACCATGCTCCCCTTCTTCTCCCACTTTTGTTTCATGTACCACTTCAGAAAGTCTGCTCTCCTGTCTCAATTTTATAACATGTAAACTTCACTTTCAAAAGAAAACTCCCTTCCTTTTCTATCTTGCTTATTGGAGCATAAATAGTCTGTGCTTGACTGTATATTAAGCACTGGATATTTATTATATTCTGTGTGAGTAGGAGAGATTGATAATTGGTTGATTAACAGAGGGACTGAGAGAGAATAGCATATGGCTACCTCAGAGCTGGTAATCAGAGGTGTGAGCTGTTATCCTGACCCAGCCATGATTTCCAGGACCACAGAGGTCAGGTAACTTTCCTCTGTCCCCTGAATTTTTTTCCAGCAGGAAATTGGGTGCATGCTTCCTACTACCTTTCTACTACTTACTAGGATATTGAGGAGATATCCCCAGAAAAGAGGAAGAAATATAAGAACTTCCTTGAAGATCTTGGGCACAAAACAAGAGCTCCAGTGGGGGGAGAGGGCCTTGAGGCTCCTGGGGCAGCCGTGCTAGGCAGACAGAGGGAAGTGAGGAGTAACTGATGCTGAGGCCTAGTTCTCTGGCTCTCAGGGACATCCACTTCAGGCAAGGCTCTGGTAATTTGTCTTTATAAATGTGACAAGGCTGAGAGCGGTATGTGGAGGTGAGATCCAGGCCCTGCCATGTACAGTAACCATATCACTTCTTCTGATTTGTGTCTGTCCTGCGGGTGACATACCCCAGTATCCTGTTTGCCTCTCTTACTGCAGCCATTCACTGGGCTGGTGGCTTCAAGGATTTTTCTACAATAACCCCTAAGCCCCTTTCCTGGTCAGTACGCTGCATGACTGTTCCGTGTAATCTGCTTTCTCTCTGGTATGTTGCCCTGCCCTCTCCTGAGATTGCTTGACATTTGTCTGCAGTGAACTGCATTTTCCACCCAGTGGCACAGTCACCTGAGAGACTCAACTCCCTCGGAACCCGGTTGCATTGTATTTCATTATTTGCTGTATCTTGAACTTCGGCCTTATCATCTCCCTGTGGCATCTTACATTTGACAGACCCATACAGATAATGCACCTCTATTATAAACCGTATCCTGAAATGACCCTGGGCACTCCACCTAGACTCACTTTCCATGCAAATGTTTCCCCTTTTCAGCCACTGTTGATGAGCCCGAAATCCTCCTATCACCCTATTATTATTGTGTGATTGACCAGAAAACTGGATTGAACTGTTCCAACAACTGTTCTCCAAGGCCTCTGCACTGCTGTCTTGTTTCAGTTCTGATTTTGGCTAAAACTGTGTCTGTGCCTGGAACCCCTTCCAGTTGGGGTGGGCTGTGCATCTACAAGACTTAGTTGTGAACAGGCAGCCTACAGCAAGGTGACAAGTGCTTTCTTTGTGCTTCTAGGAATGAAGTGACCAAGCTGAAATTTGAAGGAAAGACTTTCTATCTATATGTAAGTCAGAAAGAGGTAAGTACTGTCTTCCTCTCTTCAGGGAGGGCTGGGACACTGCAGTTATTCTTGATGGCTAGAGCCAAGTCTCATGGCTCCAAGTAGAGCAAAGACACCTGCATGCTCAACTAAGACCAAGGTCAAGACTTGGTGGTAAGGTATGAAAGGGTAGGAAGGCCCTGAGCACAGGACTTCCTCAGGGATGCTGATGACACCCAGAGGTTTCACACAAGAGATCCCTCCTACCTCCAGGAAATGTAGTCAAAGTGAGATTCCTTTTATTCCATATGGAAATTCCAGGTCCAAGTGCTACTTCTCACCAAGGGCTCTCCTGGTTCAACTTGTACTAGCTAAGACTCACTCTGATTGGACTTGCCAGATGTGAGGCAATGTATTGAACTAAGTTCCACCCTAGTGGGTCCTTTAACCTTCCCTTCCAGATAGCCAGCTGTCGAGGGCCTTCAGCAATTCAGTGTCCTGGGCTTCTTCACTCACTCAGCTGTTTCTAATGTGGAAATTTTTGCAGGAAAAGAAAATTATTCTCACATATTTTGCTCCAACTCCAGAAGCCTGCAAGCACCTCTGGAAATGTGGAATCGAGAACCAAGCTTTCTACAAGTAAGTGGACACATGGATGGGGTCCACCTATCAAGCGAAATCACAAAGGCTGCTTTTTAGGGGAAAGATAGGCAACCCTTGAGAAACTCTTTTGAGAAAGGAGACATGAAGATGTGACAAAGCTGGCTTCCAAGTAAAACTCAGACCTCTTTCTGGGTTTTCGTGCCCCCAGGCAGTACAGAACTAAGGTCTGGGGCTGTGTCCTTGCTAAGTTGCTCAAAGAGCCTGCTTTGAGATGTCTTTGAACAATTCCCAATGGCAGAGCAAGACTGGTCTTTTGTGGGTAAAGATTGGGTCAGAAAAATCTAACATGTGTCCAGTTTGAATGAAGCTGTCCCTGTGGAGCCATTTGGAGTCCTAGAAGACAACAGTTCTGTAAAAAACCAGGTACAACCCAGAACAGCACCTAAGCCTAGTCCTAAGTCTTGGAAAGACTCTGGGTCTCCCTCCTGGTGTGCTGAACTAGAGTTAATGTCAATCCCTCCTGGTGTGTCTCTGCCATAGGTGCTACCAATGATAGGCCAAGTGCCCAGGAGCCTTAGGTAGGGCAGCTGGAGAAGGGCAAGGGCTTGGCTGCTACTGAAGCCAAGTAAACTTTGTTTACTAAAGAATTCTGTGAAGTCTGGCAGGCCATTTTCTTTGATTAAGGAAGTTGTAAAAGCATTAGGGAGCAAAGAAATAGCCATTGGAGAATCTGGGGTGATGCCAAGTAAAATGTTTCAGAAAAAAACTTGGTCTTGTTTTAAGAATAAAACATAACAATTTAGTAAGATGCTTCTTAATCAGGACAAGGCAAGTCGGTGTGATTTATTCCACCCAGGGTGAGCCTTGCTATCACCAATGCCCCTAACAAGCTAGGTCTTCTCTACTTCTTTACTGTCCTAAAGGATCCTGGAGAAATCAGACTTGCTCTGAGCTGACTGAGTACCTCCTCCCCAGTAAGCAGATTCTGCTACCTGCTAGCCATGGTGGGATCCTGGCCATCCTGGCCAGCAGAACGGGTCTTCTCCCAGTTACCAGGGCCACAGCCCCAGAGGCTGTTTCTTGGGGAGACTTTCTGAATTGTTTGATTCTCACTATAGAATCAGGGATGATCTGGGGCAAAAAGACTTCTAATCTGAGTGGACTTCTTTCTTCACAAGATGACATTCACAAGAGACATTAGTATGGTCAAATTTCCCTCCTGCTCCATCCCTACCTGTTCAGAGAGTAAAGAAAACATCTTTCTTTTGCTACCACCTTCCCTTTGCCTGTGAGGAGAGAGCCCTGGTTTGGCAGGTTACATAAACCAGAACCAGAAGCAGCTTGAGCTGCAGACAACTGCTTATGGAGCTGAAGAGCAGCCCAGGAAGGATGGGATTCCCTCCGTCTCCCCAACAGAGAGAGGCCGTAGCAGAGAGAAGCTGGCTCCACACCAAGCCATCACTGTCCTGAAGATAGCACATTTGGAAGCGTTCTCTGTCTCTTGTCCTTTCGTGCCTCCAGCACATTTTCTTAAGGTCTTTGTTTTTCCATCTGTGTCACGGGAACAGATTTTTGCTTCCAAACCTGTAACCAAATTCATTATCTGAGTCTTTCCACTAGTACCCAGCTCTGCCAGCATCCACACTGGAAACCAAGGTCATTTTTCAGTTTTCCATTGCCTCTTTAATGTCCTAATTAAGTATGGAAAGCTTCTAGCCTGGGTCAGATCCCCAATTACACCAAATCTCTGGTAGCAGCCACTTCAGCCTTGTTCTCAACATCCCTCACAGATCCCCAGTTCTGCCTTTGGCCTATGGTCTAATGCCTTGAAGGAAGCTGGGTCAGACTCAAGAACATGGGCAGGCAGGAAGGCAAGTAAGCTGAGGCCTCATGGAGCCCTGAGACAGAGGGAATGGTATATGCTAGGATCTATTTGTGGATTTGGGGGGACAGCTCCCTACATACTCACTGTACACTTATGCAAAGATTTTAAACCCAGATGGGTTCCTAGCTAGATTAGCATTATAGGTACCTGGACATGCTGTGCAGGTGAGTCAGGTCTTAGGAGACCCCTCTGGGTGGCTCTGCCCAAGCTTCCATTTCTAACTGTGTGAGAGCTAATGGAATTAGCAGTCACATGGCAGGGATGGGGGGTATTGGTGTTGAAGGTGGTAGTGTCTTACAGAGCTCATGGTCATCCAGAATCTCCTAAAGTGATGCTAAATAGGTATTCTGAGGAAGGAAAGATGCCTCCAAAGTCAAACAAATGATGGAAATTAAGCTAGTTCTTTATTGCAGGACTTCTCAGTCTCTGCTATTATGTAGGACTCTCCAGCGTATGGTAGAAAGGGCAGTCCCTACCCATAGCTACGCAGACATGGGCACAAAGGATCAAATACTAGGACTAGACAGGACTTCTGAGGTCAGTTAATTTATAGATAAGAACGAAGCTAAGAGGAAGTCACACTGCTTGTAAATGGCCAGGCAGGGACTGGATGGATGATGTTCTGTTATTTCCCCAGACCATCATCCCTGACATTTGTTCTTTTGGTCCCTCTGGTCAATCCTATGAACCTTGTTGGGGAGCCTTCTTTCTATAATGGGTTTCCACATGTCTGTCCTGGGTACTGAGACAGGAGGATAATCAACCATGAGCACAGCGAGTCATAAACATGAGCTATGAAGGTTTTTCTTGAATCATTTCCTCAAGTAGCCTTTAGAGCTGGGAATGTGCCTTAGCTGTGTGGAGTAGGTTCAGGCCATCTGTTATACTGGACTTTGCCTTGCTGCAGGCTGGAGAAGTCAAGCCAAGTCCGCACAGTGTCCAGCAGCAATTTATTCTTTAAAGGGAGCCGGTTCCGATACAGGTAAATAGTGACAGTAAGTAACAATTATGGTTCTATTTTCAGACCCTTCCCTGGAGCGCAATCATTCGGTGGGCCTTATTCTTGAAATCAAAGAAACTGATGAACTCTCAGAAAAACCTGGGGTTTCTATCTATGTCTCCTGTCTTCTAACCCTTTTACTGTCTCTTTCCTTCCCTTACAACAGCATCCAAAATACAAAATGTAACAGTGGTTATTTTCACATCTCACTATTTGCCTTTGTTTCTGATGGTTTATTGGAACATGCTGGACAAGGAGGAATCATTCCTAAGTAGGAATGGAAGATCCCAAAGACTCCAGAAATGGAGAGAGCTCTTTAAGATAGGCTGTCACAGTATTTTAAACTCTACCCCAGCAAGCAAGCCTTTCTCAGTTACCAAAGCATTAGGGAAGGGGTAGGTCAGAGACCATTTCCTGATTCAGCCAAAGCCATCTGAGATCATGGAGTTTAGAGCCTACTCCTGAAAAACTGTCTCACTTCTTGCTGCTCATTTTTATTATACTACTTATAGTGGCCGAGTTGCAAAAGAAGTAATGGAATCAAGTGCCAAGATCAAACGGGAACCACCGGAAATACACAGGTAGGCTGCCAGGGGCTTCACCCAAAACCAGTTCCAGCTAAGATTGCAGAATCTCAAAAGTCATTCTCAAAAAGAGAATCTCAAAAGAGATTCAAATTCTAGCAGTTTGAGTTCTGTGACACTTCTGGTCACAGTGGCTACCAAAAGGGACAGGAGAGTAGGGCAGAAGGGTGAAGAAACCTGTGTCAGCTGGAGGCATGGGGGAAGTCTTTAACCCATGACAGAAACAAGGAAGGGAAGACAGACTATTTGTAGATAGCAATCAGACCTAGGTGCTGCCTCACTCAGTAATTCTCTTGTTTCCCAACTAAGTTGATCATAAACCATGAAGGATGTGACAAAGCAGCAATACTTCTTTGCTTCTGGAATTAGCCCTTTACAGGAAGCAAGGGAAAACCTCAGATCCCTGCCATACTGGGTCTGAAATAGTTTCAGGAGCCATACTCCATGTACATCCATAAATCATGCATTTCCAGGAGCCCATCTTGTAGAACCCAGTAAGAGTCATAAAGAAAGGACTGGCCAAGAACACTAGGATCTGCTAACTACCCTTTGACTCTGGAAAGGACAGCATTACTGCCTGCCTGCCTCTCAACAGAGCCCCACTCAGCAGCCTCTGTTGTAAGTCAGGGGAGGCTGCCCATGCCAGTCTTCAGGCACATTTTCAGAAGTACTGCTCATCTGGAAGCCTTGTCCCCTGAGACCAGTGACACTGTTGATGCACTAAAGGAAAGTTACGGTGGGCCTAGGATATGAGGAAGTAGACGAGTTTGAAGCAGAGTCTGACTGGGATCCAGAAGCCAAAGGCAAAAGGTACTAAAGACTAAAAACAAGCAAACAAAACAAGAAAATCTAATACAGCCAAACAGTTCTAGAAGCCCCTATCACATTTGTCTGTGCACTGACTGAACCACATTCTCCTTCTTTAACTTCAGAGCAGGGATGGTTCCCAGCCGGAGTTGTCCCTCCATAACCCATGGCCCGCGACTGAGCAGCGTCCCCAGGACCCGCAGAAGAGCTGTTCATATCTCCATCATGGAAGGTGAGCCTGAGCTGCTGGGTTCCTCCATGTTGTGACTTGCCCAGGTTCTTCCTCAGGAACCCTGAAAAGAAGCTAAGTTGCATTAGAGACAGCAGCAAGTTTCTTGAAGGACAGAGGACCAGGAGCAGGTTTAAGGTTCTATGCAGAGGATGGGGAGTACCATCTGCCACCCATGCCTGCTGTGCTGCAGTTCAGGATGGGGTGCAGGTCTGAGGGGACTGGCCTAGTCCGATAGAAGACCTGTGTATATGAGCTGTGCCAGGTCCCAGGAAGTTCTCAAATGACTTAATATCAAGGTCTTCCATTCACTTTCTAGCTTTGACCAGTCTCCACAGCCATCAGCTGAAGCAGTTAACCAAAACATGAAAACTCTTGGTTCTTGTTTTTGAGGAGCTACTACCACCTATCCTGCAGATGTAGAAATGGATGATATTGTTCTCTGAATTCCTTACCACCATCTCAGGAGTCCAGAATGCCCCATCTCTCCATCCTTCCCTCACCTTGAGGGAGGTGGAGGTGGGAAGAGAACAGTATGTGCCTTCACCGAGCTAGACACTGCAGGGGCTAGGGCCTATCACCTCTCTGTTCTCTGAGTAATAGGCACTGTTACAGCTGCTCTTGGAATACTGCTGTCTGGCTATTGTTGATCCAACTGGATATGGATATGGGTGTAAGGTTGACTGCTTTCATTCTCAAAGATGGTGTTTTTGTATGACCTCAGAAGATCTCAAACAGCAGAAAACAGCAGGATTGCTTCAAATATTATGAGGTTAATGGAGTGGAAGCTGGGGAGGGAAGGCCCTTTGCCCTCTTGGGGGAATGCTGCTTGTTAATGAAGACCTGCTCAGGTGAGGAAAGATGTCACTCTGCTGTTCTTCTGGTAGGATCTACAGTTTATATTTAGCATACGTTACTATGAGTGTCACCTGAGTGTCTATCACTTGTGTATGATATGTAACTGCAGTCTAAGAGCTGGCTAGACAACCACCACAAACCTGGCTAGCCAACTACCATCAATTTAGTTCATTATGTGAGTATCTTAGTTGTTTCATTGGTAAAACAAGGAAATCTTCCTTGCCTGTGTGCAGCAAGGAAGCTAATATATGTGAAGTATTTTAAAGAACATTTTAAATCACTTGCTAGGTAGGCAGCAAGCATAGTGCCAAAAGTCTTGGGCAGGAAGTCAAGGATGGAGTTCGAATAGCAGCTCTGCCATGCAATTTCTGGGTAAGTTGCTTCACCTCTGAGCTTCCTCTGTGGAATGTAGTGTGGATGTGAGAAGGACTTGCGAACTACCAAGGCTAATTGCTGTGCACAGTGTGGAGTTATTGAGTACAGACTATCGTCAGTAGTCTCCTCCCATTTTAGACTGAGCTGGAGAGGTGAGCGGGGCTCTCGCTGTCCCTTTCTTTGGGGGTGTACATCTCAGGGAAGTGGTATTTCTTCTCTCCTCTCTGTGACTCTTTTTTCCCCCAACCTCCCTGTGGCTAAAGCCAGCAGGTTACTCCCAAGGCTTCTACAGAAAGTTGAAGCCACAACGTCTGTAAATCCTAGCTACTCAGGAGGCAGAGATCAGGAGGACTGCAGTCTGAAGCCAGCCATATCTTGAAAAATAAACATCACAAGAAAGGGCTGGTGGAGTGTCTCAAGGTGTATGCCATGAGTTCAAACCCATACAGCCAAAAAAAAAAAAAAAAAAAGGTTGGGACAACAGTCTTCTAAGGAAAAGGCAAACCTTAAGGAAGCCAGTATGAATATAGAGTATAAAATGGAGAGAATTCCCAGAAAAGGGAAGGCTAAGGCTGACTGCATGGGGATACAACTCCCCATGGAGCAGCAGTCATGTGGAGTTAGCAGAAAAATCGTCATGTTCCCCCAAAAGACAAGCTGTGGGGCTGCCTCAGTTGCCCACCCAGCTCTACCCCAGAACCTGTCCTCTCCCATTGCAGCAGGTCCTTTCCCTAAACTGTTCACCTTTGCTTGCAAAATGCTGGGTGAGGGACTGCTGAGGAATACAGACTCCCCAGGGCCAGAGTACTTCCTCCAAATCTTAGCCTCACAGAATTTCCCACTTGGCAGACCATGGCTCACCAGCCTCTCATGTGCTGCTCCCCAAACAAACAGGTTCTTCATACCCCAGGCCCAAGGCTGCCAGCAAACAATCTCAGCCTATGTCCCCAGACACAGCCCTCAGCAGGACCCATTGGCTCAGGAAAAGTAAGCAGGCATCCCTAAGGCAGAAATGACCCGGTGACAGTAGGAAGAAGAACATCTTGTTTGGATGGGGAAAAAAATGTAAGATTTTAGGAGTTAAATAGCTTTATCAGTGCAGGGCTATCAAGCCTGTGATAAGATAGTTTCCATGAGGCAACAGAGGGTTTTATCTTTAAAAGTGCTAACCAACACAGCTGACCCTAATTGGAGGATGCGATGAGGGCCTTAGAAGACAGGCACCAACCATAACTCCAAGGTCCTTGCTCTTGGATATGCGAAATTGGTTCATGCGCCATCAAAGACTTTCCATATGGCACAAAAATTATCACAGAAACCATCTGATTTTTCCAGAGAAGCTTTATTTGCTATCTATACAACCAATGGGGAAAAATTATATTACCATAACATTACAGTTTGAATAAAGCCATATAATCCCAATGAAGGGGGACTCTTAAAAGTACAGAGTGAGTTGTTTAGCCCTACTACCTGCTGTCTAGGTTGCTAAAATAACACAGAACTAATACAGGCCGACCCCAAGAGGCTCAGGTATGTCAATTTCCTTTATGTGCTATGCCCTATAGAGCACCCCTCAGCAGCAGAAGGCAGGACACATTCAATTTCCAGCCCCAGAGTGCTACTCAGCCCAAAGCTAGTGTTGACTATATGCCATAATACAGGTGGTCCAGATAAAGCCTGTATTTGTGAGCTTACATCCTAGATTTTCTGGGACACTTTTTTTGAGGAGGGGAGGAGTGCTGGGGATTGAATCCAAGACCTTGTACATGCTAAGCAAGCACACTACCACTGTGCTCTCTGGGATTGATACCTCACCCTTGGAGAGGTTGAGCCCTTATATGGGCCTCAGGAAAGCGCTACAGGCTGGGGAAGCATTACTTTTTATGGCTCTAAGTGTAACTGAATCCAGTCCCCTGATAACGGCAGCCTCTCAGCCTGATGTGAGGCTTAGAGCACCAGAGTTCTCTCTGTAGCACAGGAAGCACTGTTAGGGGCTGCCATGGCATGGGGTCAGTGAAAAGCCTTGTGCCCTTTTCCTCTCATACCTTCCCCTGCCTGAGTCGTTTCTACTGAAGAAGTATGGTGAAGAGTCTGATTAAGATTCACACCAGGGTCCGCGTGCAGCTCCGGCTAACTAATCACTGCCACCGGCCCTTAAGCATGCGCATCCTGAGGATGGGGCCCAGGCTGCAGGGTAGGGTCCTGATGGCTGTGCACCCTGGCTCACTGGGAGCCTCCTCTGGGCAGGGGCAGCAGCTGGAGTACATCCAAGGTAAAAGAGACCTCCTTTGTTTTGCTATGCCACTTAACCCAGATCCTTCCCACGGCACCCAACCTTCTACCCTCAACTAACAGGTTTGATGAAGGGCAGGGAGAGTGTGGTTTCTGTAGCATTGTAGACTAAATTTCTTGTTCAGAACTAACCTGATTTGGAATGATAAGCTTACAGTTCAGCTGAAGACTGGCATTTACTGAGCAACTGTAGTGGTCAGGCAAAACACACATCTATCCATTATCTTGTTCACCAAAGAACACTAACACCTCAATGTAACGTAGCTTCTGGTGACTCTCACTTGCTGTTCTCTGATGTTGCAGGGTCTGCCTGTCTCCTTCCCCAGCCAGCTTAGGGCTTAATTGTAGACCAAGCTAAATTTGCACTGAAGTGGCTGCTGACAGCAATGCTGGTCATACTTTGGAAGATCTGGCAGTCAAGAGATGTCCTTGTGAAAGGACAGGCACCTTTGTGAAGGTTGCAGAGAAACGGGGGCAAAGGAGGGCTTAGGAGATGACTGAAGCTATTAGCACCCTAACATTTGTTTTATCACTGATCAGGTACAAATTTCTCCTACCCCATGTGCAATGGGAGCATCAAGGAGAAAGGTTGGGTAACAGGAGAGTGGTGAAAGCATCAAGAGTTCTGGAATGAGGGAGAAGGGCTCTAATTTCACATTATTGCACAAGTTTCTTGGGTGGTTGAGAACTACATCTAAGGCAGGCTCAGGCTGTAGACTTAATCCACTCCGGCTGATTCATTCCCTGCAATCCAACTATATGACCAGTAACACGATGAAATAGAAAGAGGCTTGGGTTCCAGCCTTGGCTTTGCCATTAATCAACCACATGATTTCAGGCAAGTTCAGTAACTTCTGACCCTTCCTACTTTATGAAGTTGTTGAAAGATAAAATCAAGTGTTTTTAAAAGCTTAAAACATTATACAGGGCTGGAGGAGTGGCTCAGGTGGTAAAAGCACCTGCCTAGCAAGCATGAGACTCTGAGTTCAAATTTCAGTGCCACCAAAAAAAAAAAAATTCTACAAATTTAAGATTTTAGCATAGGACTATGAGGAGCTTCTGAAAGCAGAAGTTGAGCGCCACGGCCAATACAGCACTGATAAGAGAAAGGGAAGTGAAAATAGAAAGCAAGTGTCCTGCCATCACTTCTCCCCACCACTACTCATTGAAAACCCAGATTCCAGGCTCTTTCTTTGGAGAATCCTTAACTGTGCCTATGCTAAGATGAGCTCCACCAGGATGCACAAGGCTAAGGCACAGGGAGCCAGGAAAGATGAGAAACCACTGCTGAAAGGTTACTATCACATTTTTAAGAGGCCTTTGAGCTTCTGGAGCTAGCTCAAAACTAGAAGCTCCCTAATCAGGCCTAGTGAGGTCATATCTTTGCTAAACTGAGAACCTGGGGCAGTCTAGGACCATGAAGGTCTATTGAAATAAACAGAAGGCTTTTCTTGTCATAGGCTGGGGAGCCACTCCAGGGTGGCCAGGAGTGGAAAACATAGATGCTCCACCTGCAACAAGAAGCTGCTTCCTTGGGAACTCTGTGATGCACTATACTTTAGGACTATGAGCCCACAGGCTCTAGCCTAGGGGGCTGCTGTTTTGCTAGGAACATAACCAGCTCCTGGTTTTCTCTGCCAGACCTTAAGCCCTGGAAAGAGAAAAGTTTCAGAGACAAAAAAGAGATGAGTAGTTTTAGGGGTCAAAAAAACCCTTTCTCCTAACAAGAGAATCCCCTACCACACGCCTACAAGATCTCAGACTGCTTTGTGCTGGATGGTCTAGAGACACAGGAGCCAGTAGCTCACACCTGCAATACTAGCTACCTGGAGGTGGGGGGAGACTGACACATCAGGAGGATTGCATTTCAAGGCCAGCCTGCACAAGTAGTTCTTGAGAACCCATCTCCAAAATAACCAGAGGTGTGGCTCAAACAGTAGAACACCTGCTTTGTAAGCACAAAGCCCTGAGTTCTATCCTAAATAAATAAATAAATAAATAAATAAATAAATAAATAAATAAAAACAGGAACTATCAGGCTAGTCTAGACCTAGCTCCTCTTAGGAGGGAGCTGGCTAGGGACTGCTCCGCTTCACCATCAGGAAGCACTTGGGGAAAGCTGAGAGGATGACAGCAACTGTAAAAGTCCAAAGGATTGGCTCAATATGGTGCATGCTAAGTTATAAGGACCTCTATACTTGATAAAGCTCAGTTAGGCAAAACACATCTCCCCTCCCCATTCCTGCTTCTCAGGGTCCTCTGCCTAGGAGACAGACTTCAGCTCCATGAATTGTGGCACCAGTTCTGTATCAGGGAATCTGTGATTCAGATCCTCTTTCAAGTTGGGACTATAAAGGTGGGAAAAACAGTCTTTAACAAATTAAGGCAAAACCATAAGTAAAAACAAAACCTTCCAAAATGGCACGTAGTGGCCACTGCTGCTGGTCACACAGCGATGGGTACAAAGTATGAAGTATGTGTTGGGACCCAGAAAGCCTAGTCATGTATTTTGTTTTGCCTTTCCAGGCCTTGAGTCCTTAAGGGACAGTGCCCATTCCACCCCAGTGCGTTCCTCTGCCCATGGGGACACCTTCCTGCCACACATGAGAAGCAGCCGGGCAGACAGCAATGACCGAGTAGCTGTGATAGCGGACGAGGCCTACAGCCCTGCAGACAGTGTGCTGCCCACCCCTGTGGCTGAGCACAGCCTGGAGCTGATGCTGCTTTCCAGACAGATCAATGGAGCCACCTGCAGCATTGAGGAAGAGAAGGAGTCAGAGGCTAGCACCCCAACTGCTGCAGAGGTGGAGGCCCTGGGAGGAGAGCTGAGGGCCCTGTGTCAGGGGCACGGCGGGCCAGAGGAGGAACAGGTGAATAAGTTTGTTTTCAGTGTCCTCCGTTTGCTCCTTGTGACCATGGGACTCCTCTTTGTTTTGCTCCTCCTCCTGATCATCCTTACCGAGTCTGACCTTGACATTGCCTTTTTCCGCGATATCCGCCAGACCCCCGAGTTTGAACAATTCCACTATCAATACTTTTGTCCCCTCAGGCGATGGTTTGCCTGCAAAATCCGCTCAGTGGTGAGCCTGCTCATTGACAGCTGAGAGGCATGACTCCTCCCAATAACTAGCCAGGTGGACCAAGGAGCCCGGCTACCCATTCCCAGCAATGGGACCCATCGCGGAACCATCAGCACACACACCAAGTCCTCTCATGACTCAAAGTCCACTGCAGCCTAGGAGGGTTGTCTCCCAGAAGAAGAAAGGGATAGGCCTACACCCTGTTAAACTGGGAAAACTCATTTTTTTCAGAGGTTCTTTCAAGAAAGGCTCAGCAACTGTTTCTCATCCTTCAATTTGCAGTATAATTTTTGGTTTTGATTTTTCGTAGATGTACATTATTTTGGAAGTATCCAAATAAAAAAATGATTTATTTTATTATTACTGATTATCACAGTAGTGTCACCTAGCAAATGGGATGCTAGTTGAAGTCTAGAGAGCTGTTGTCCTCTGTACTCACAGATTTCCTACTGGTGCCACTGGGTTCCAAGAGACTCATCACGGCAACCTTGGCAGGGCAGGCCAGGTGTCTTGGACAACGGAGACTGTTTAGGTTTTCTTGCAAGGCAGAACTTTTTTAAAAAAAGTAAATATCCATGTAGAATGATTAAATGGAAAGTTGCTTCTTATGATTGTCTGAGCTGGATTTTCTTTTCCTTTTGTTTTTTTCAAATCTGAGCAGAGTGGGCATCTGAAGGGACATGGCTACAGCAGCAGCAGGGGTGGGGTAAGTCTGTCCCCTTAGACTAGAGCCTAGTAGGCATCACCCTGAGTTTTGTACAATGAACTAAGACTTCCATGATATTTTTCTGAAGAACCTCAAGACTTTTATAGTGTTCCTGCAGTGTTAAATTAATTCAGTGGTGCCAGAGAGAGAACTTACAGAAATGTCAGACAGTGCAGTTAGCAGACGCCAGAGCTCAGTTTCCTGAGAGCAGTGCTTATTTTGTACACAGTGGGTCCCTCCCCCACAAAAAAAAAGACTATTTCAATTTATATTTTAACAGCAAAATGTTATTTTCCTATCTACTCATATTTTGTTTTTACTTTATGGATTAAAAAAATAGAACCTGATGAAACTAAATGATGCAAGAAAGAAACTGATCCTGAGAAAAGCATCAGATCAACAAACAGCCTTGGAAGGGACCAGGCAAAGAATCTCTTTAAATAGGATTTCTTTCTAAGAGATGCCTACAAAAGAAAGGTGAATGTGGCAGATACGCAACACCTAGATGTAGAAATGCTGCCCCCTAGGGTCATCCTCTGCATCAGGAAGTCAGTTCTAGAAAAGCACTTACCATCCTTGTTCAAAGCCTAGAAGGTCACACACAGCACAGGTACATGAAGGGTGAGTCCCTAGGCCCGAGCTCCGTACCTCTTAAAATGGAACTCGTTTTCATCTCAGGGAGAGATTTCTAAGTCAACAGGGGCCGAGGATGATTTAAAGACAGTCAGTGGAGAAATACTCCTGGGACCACACAAGATTGGAGCAGCTGCTGAAACCTGTGATGGTGGACCGCCCCAAATACAGAACAGATTGAGTCCCTTGTAGGTTTGATCTCTCCTGTTTTGTCCGCTGAGGTGGTAGAACCATGTCCAGAATTCAACAGCAGTAGAAAAAGTAGGGTTGGGGAATAGAGGGGATTTGTATAATTTTAAAGACATCCTTTTCATCTAGACCAGCAGTCAGCAAATTTCTTCTGAAAGGTACCAGATAGTAAATATTTACTAATTTTGGTTTTGCGGACCATGCTGTGCCATGACTACTCAAATGTGCCATCCTCACACAAAAACAGCTATCAATAATATGTATGTGAAAGAGCATGGCTATAGTCCAATAAAACTTTATAAAAACAGTTGAATTTAGCACACGGCCATAATATACCAACCCTGATCTAGACAATACAACCAATATGTTAGTGGAAGAGGGTCAGCTTTAATTCCTGTCATGTATGAAGGACCATTTATTTCCCTATGGAGGCACTGAGGTTGCTTGGTTACAGGGTGCTCGAACAGCCAACCAGCAGACATGTCTGATGCCAAGGAGAGCAAGATGAAGTACTGGGATGTTAAAATGTGGTGAATCTAAGAATGGAAATGAGCCTATATGGTGATTCCATACCAGCAAAAATTTGGGCAGAATCAAAAACATAAGTGACAAGACAAACTGAGGGAGATCCTAGCAAAAACTAGGGATCACTTCAAACCAACTAGCCACTGCCACTTGTCATCTATTTAACAAAGGCTTTATATAGCACAGGACTAAGGTAAAAAAGTATACCTAGAGATGAAAAGGCTGTTAGGAGACAGGGGGCTGGTGTTAACCTGGATTTCTACTGTTTTATGCAACATAGCAGATTACCTTCTAGTATAGTGCTCCTACCTCAGTCTGTAGAATACGGTGTCTCTATGCAGTGAGTGATAGCCTCATCTCTGACCTTTCATATCCACACTAGAGAGAGGCAGTATTCCATTGCCCTAGTGTGTTACTCGTATCTAGATTTCTAACAGATCAGTATTCATACCATTTCCAACAGCTGAACAGAAACTTTCGGGTTATTTGGGTTTTTTTCCAGAGCTTATCCCAGAAAATAATATGGGTAGAAAATGTCCTTCAATTTGCTTGTGGGTGACTAGTCTTTTTTCGGTATCTCCCCATCATTAAGAATTGTTCGAGTTTTTAATGTGGTTTTACTGTGTTCTACTATGTCTTTCATTTCCTTTCAAAATTAGCTTTGTCTCACTGTAGAAAAAAGCAATGATTTGCATAGTGTCATCTCTCAGAGGAAGTAACTCCCTCTGAAGAGCAGTGTACTGCATCTTCACGCAGTAGAGGGTAAACTACCTGCAAATGTGAATTTCTTAGTTTCATTTAAAAATATGTAGTTGTTAACCTTTCATGTGCCAAAAACTCATTTACATTTTTTCCTTCAAAGCAATGTACTTTTTTCTACATATGCAGTATGTAGTTAGCATAAAATCATTGGTGCCAGGAAGACTATTTTTAAATTTAAATAAATATTTAAATACCATGGGAGAGTGGGTTCTTTCTTTTTTACCTTGCAGCCTATTTCATTTTGTCAAAACTTATCAACTCACAGGTAAAAGGGTATCAGCTAACTGCTGGGATCATATACAATATCTTCACTATTGTCCACCCAAAATACATACTATTAGAAACTGAGAAGCTATTAATGTGAGTTCATTTTGGGCTTTTTTTTTTTTTTTTTTTT